ACATGTCATTAAACATGTTGTGCAGACTTTAAAATCCAAAGATGAGTGCATCTTCAGTAAATATTTATTGCTTTTTTTTTTAAATCCCTTTATTTAGTTTGTTTTACTCCAGATGTGTGTTGTGTCTTTACATACATTTCTTTTTATATTATGCCAGCATGTAGTTACAAATTGACGTTTTTTGGCCCAAAAATGTCTTCATAATGGATAAAATTCATTCACTGACATAGACAATGTTTTAACATTGCATTTGGTAACAATTTAAACACACTGTGTACTGCAGTGATGTCTGACAGAAAGGGTTAAAAATTGAGCCTAGTAGCATTCTTTAGTGTGAGGAGCAGGCTGCAACTCTCCCCGATCTAATCCACTTCCTCCCCAGGAAATGGAGAAGGCGGATTTCTGCCCACACTGCAATTTCCTCCCTCATTCTTTTTCTTTCTGTCTTTTTTTCCCCTCTCCTCCTCCGCTCTCTCCTCCTCCTCCTCCTCCTCCTTCTTCTCGCTCTTCCTTCCCTCTTCACCCCTCCTCCCCCCACCGTCAGAATAAATCTCCCTCTGAGTGCGGGGGTTAATGGATGACTTGTTTTCCAGCACGTGTGTTTATATAGCAAGGAAGAGAAAGGACGAGCAGAGGTGTTTTAGACCTTGTGAGCCGTGACAAAGACGTGTGGCTGGCTGTCTGAAAGAGGAGAGTGGATCCCCTTTAGCAGCAGACATAAACTAAACACTGCAGAAGAAAAAATGAAAGACGACCTGCAGATGTCTGAGTCTGCGTGAGCAACTGTGCTTGACATCTGATTAAAACAGAGTTCGACTTCCACGTGTCTGCGGATGTGAAGTGACCCATCAGTTTACTCGACAGGAAACCCAATGCGGACCTGTTGAGCGTTCTTCCTTTTTCTGCAACAATACAAAAGAGGAAGTGGGCTGAGGGAATTTCCTGTGCATCTCATCCAGCTTCAGCCTGACACCCAACCTAACGCCCCGCCAAGAGTCCTGAACTTCACACCGGCTAGAGAAAAACTGGTTAAATATTGACATGTGCACCAATGAAGCAATTCAGGGTTGGTCTTTGAACTGTTAGCCTATCTCTTGGCAGAGCTCCAACCCCGCCCCCTCTATGATTGGGTAAGCAATGAATGAGCAGATGCAACCAAACTCAAGTCCAGTAAAACTGTGAATGTCACCCAGTTGCTTCACCAAGTTGTTCCCAAATATATTTCATCAGACTTTTTCCTTTGCAAGTTCAACTAAAGCCGGCTAGTCACTGTCACCTTGCCCTTCACTTCACAGCTCTGGAAAGACTAGGCTGTGTCAATGTAAGGTAGATGGAAGCTCTTCAACGGGTTTCAACTGATACGAACAGAGAGAAGGAAAGACACCCAAATGATTTCTTAAAAATGAATACTTCCACAAAAAAGCCGCCTGACTCATATCTTACAAATATGTTCACATTGAGTCTACTTTACATTTAAAGTATCACAATAAATGAAAGTCTCACAATCAGAAAAAAAACTGAAGAGAAAAACTTTTTTTCAAATAACAGAATCCTGCTTTTCCTGTTTTGAATTGTGACTGAGTCATCCACGATACTGCACGACATGTCCATGTCAAAATGTTCTGATATCTGTTCTCTATTTGTGTCAAAATAACCTTCCCTCACCATTCAGTGATACAGAGATAAATGCTGATAAAGGGTGTCCAGAGACCACACGAGCCATCTGCAGTGGCTGTCAGCATGTTAGTACTGTGGCTCAAACCGGACCCACCGTCACCTCAGAAACACACCTTTAGAGTTTCAGGACTGTATCTTGCATACTCGCAGTCTGGAAGCTTAATTGCTACAACCGAATGATGTAGTCCAAGTTATTCTTTTCAGATTAGTTCCCAGTCTGCTCTGGAGGACACGTGTTTAACAGTGACCCCGGGCTACAGCCAGTGTTTCAGGGCTTACTGTTTAACTCATATTCAGACTAAGACTTACAATTTTGTGACAAGAAACTGTTTATAGTCTACGAATATTAAAAAAATGAATAAAAAGATAAATGAT